ATCCTTTTCAGAGGCGCAGGGAGTGACGGGACTCTCAAACAAAACCGTTCGTCATCCCAGATTTCAGAATGTGCTGACTGGGCTGATGACTGACGGCCTGCGATAAGCGTGTTATCGGCGGACTCTGTGCTCGATCCGTGACCCTTTAACGAGAGTTAAAAACAGGATCCCAGACAACAACACGATTACATACCGCAGGAAAGCAGCTTTTGTAGATTTACTTCCTCTTACCGTGAAGTCTGGCCACAACCGCTTCCTTACATAACCAACAATTCGATGTATACACTGAGTTACTAACTCCACGGAGTTGAGCCCTTCTTGAGAAGCCGCCAGTCGCTCAGCCACTCAAGAATTTTGAAAACATTTCATGCAACTCGAATGTTCATTACCGTGTTGACAAGAGCCCTCCACTGGCCCCTATCCTAAGCCAGAATTAATCCATTCCATACCATCTTTCTGACATCAATCTTAATATTATCCTCCCACCTACGTCTACGTCTTCCCAGTGGTCTCTTTCCTTCTGGCTTTCCCACCAAAACCCTACACGCATTCCTCTTCGCCCCGTGCACGCTACATGCCCTGTACATCCCATCTTCGTTGACTTGATCGTTGTGATTATATTCTGTGAACAGTAGAATTTATGAAGCTCCTCATTATGCATTTTTCTCAAACCACGTACATTTCGTCATCCAATTCCTCTCAGTGCTCTGTAATGATATACGCTGCGACCTTACACTGACACAACCTCGGTTTGGTCACGGTAGCGATAATGAAGTTCGCTTATTTGTGGTGGCTAACATGAGTGTGGTCGGCCATTCCTCAACCGTAACATGAATATCGCCAATGAACCGGAAGTCCGGAACAGTGGTTTCATATTCCGCTACATTCCGGTATGACAGAGCCATAACGACGCACCGTCAGCTGTCAGAAATTCGTGACCTTTGCGCCGTATTCTTCTGGGCCCAAATGAGGCACTTTATCTTCAGTGTCACCAACCTCGTTACCAGCCATATGACGCTAACTAGCGGATTACAAATGGTTGTGTTCGTTGTGCTTTATTTGATAATGCACAAAACTGAAAACCGTGAGGTTAGAATCCACGCTGCTCACTGCGCAGACGCGGGATCAGTAGCAAGTGAGTTTACGTACTCTTCTGCAATTATAATTAGAACGATCAAGTCAGGGAGGATGATGTGGGCAGGGCATGTAGTACGAACGTGGGAGAAGAGGAATGCGTATAGGATATTGGTAGGAAAGCAAGAAGGAAGGAGACCACTACGAAGACCAATGCGTAGGTGGGTGGACAATATTAAAATGGATCTTAGAGAGAGAGGATGGTATGAACTGGATTGATCTGGCTCAGGATAGGGACCAGTGCAGGGCTCTCGTGAACACGGCAATGAACCTTCAGGTTCCATAAAATGCTGGGAAATTCTTGAGTGCCTGCAGAATTGGCGGCTCCTCAAGAATGGCTCAGCTCCGTAAGTAAGTAACAGTGATCGGCTTAGTGGCACTCAAGCACGTCTTCGAGTTTCTTGTAGGTCTCCCCTGCTGATCAACATTCTAAGATCGCTCCACACTCAACTATCACCGCGCCCTGAGCTATGCATCAGCCCGGAACTGGCAGCACATTGTCACATGCTCTATCTTTTAGCTATCTGTTAGCATTACCCAATTAGATATCTCGTTACAGAATACGAAGACTCAACACTGCTAATATAAATCCCGTTCCGTCACTTGACACCATCTTCTCCTGTTTCATCCGACGAAAGCCTGTCCTTGAGCCAGGGCCAAAACCTCTTCTTAGGTGAAGCTATCCCTGTGACAGGCCATGGAGGCCCATTGGGTTGTGAGACGTCGAGGATCCCACATTTTCTATACCATCGGCTCATAGATGGCGGTGAGGTTGTCAGCCTTACGCGGCGGCGGCAGCCCTTTGCCCCCAAGAATATTCCTCGTAATGTTAGCTGCTGAGTCGACCCCCATTGCCATGATGTGGCTGGAAAGATTAGACCTTTCGACTTCTAGTATAGTGCCTCAACCAACTACGCTACCGCGTGCTCCTAACCCTTGTTCTTAAGGCTTACAATTTATTATTATTATTATTATATTTCCACATTTTATATCTTACCAATTAGTCATTGTCAAAAGTTATTATGAAAATGCACCATCCCCACTTCTGGTTAAGGAAGATGTGTCTGAAATCCAGTCCCCCCTCCCCCCGATGCTGCCATTTCCAAATCAAAGTGAAACCCTCTACCCCAGCACATACTTCTTGCACTTACCCCTGGGGTGCAGCCTGTCAGGTTTAAACCAGGCATCTGAAAAAGAAACAAACAACAGTTAATTCCCTCCAACCTGTGATAAAAGGACGAACTGCACTGAGAACATGGGACAAGTACGAACACGTAACATCTTTACATTAACAGTGTCACGTGTATTGGTGACTACGGACGCGGGTCTGGATTGCCGAAACGATTTATTGACCACTCACAGGTCGTAATTACAATTAGCTATAACCAGGGCCCGCATTTTGATGACATGTCATCTTTTTTCCTTGTATCCTATGCGATGCTCTTAAATATATAAATCTCGGATATGAGCTGCTGGTTACAGAAATGTAAATTTTATAGGTAATTTTTGTCATTTTTTACATTTTTAGGTTTAAGGCCATTTCTTGTCATTTTTGGCCCTTTTAGGGAATTTTTCTTCATATGTTTTCTGAAATGTGAATAACATGGAAGCGAAGTGTTGTTTCTTTTCTTCTTTAGGTCATTTTTCTGGATTTTTTCCGTCATTTTTTGAATATTTTCAGGTCATCAAAATCCGGGCCCTGACTGTAACGCTCTAGGGATTACTGTAATTATAACACAAACAAAAGGGGTGATGAGGGGGGAGGGGGTGGAAATTGGATCTACGTGATATGAAAACGTGTCAATTTGCGTGAATAATCGCAGAGTCTGCACTGAGTCTCATCTGACGCTGCCAGTTCAAGGGCTGGGCACACGGGGCATATGCAGCAGCGCATCGGTAAACAAGATATGCGCAGTTATTGACAGATATTCTGCACTTTATAACAGTGTCTAGTCTACAAGGTGGGCAAGAATACACGGTGTCATGACCCAGAAGACAATATGACTCTCCACCACGAAACCTTCATTACACGTAATCGAAAGAGACGCCATCTCTCGAGAGGCTGAGGAATTGGTGAATTGTCCTCAAGCTTAGTTACGCAACAAGCCACGAAGATGTACAGTGGAATAGAGCTCTACGTTCCGGCTGCTTTATTCCATCGGAAAGAACATCCAGCACCCACTGGACAGGATGGGTGGGCCCCAGGGTCGGTCTGGACGCGGTGGTGAAAAACCTTCGTAACCGCCACCGTAGTAACTAACCTATCCTTGCTAACGATTGACTGAAAGTTCAAGAAACGGGGGTCTGATTCTGGAAGGGATACGCAGGCGCTTTTGCGATAGTGAAGAGACCTCAGTTCCACCACAAAAAAAAATCTCCGTGGCCTGTAGTCCTCAAGCGAACTATGCCGACCGAGCGGCCGCAGCTTGTCGGCGAAGTTAGTGTCAACTTCTGCAGATAGAGGGTGTCACGTGGTCAGTGCAACGGATCCCCACGGCCGTTAATCTCGGTTTTCTAGACCGGAGCCTCAATTTCCTTGAAGTAACTCCTCAATTATCCTCACGAGGCTGAGTGGACCCCGTTTCAGAACCACTGCTTCTCAGAAAATGTGGTAGCGCCAGGAATCGAACCTGGGGCCTCTGGATCTGTAGCCAGGAACTCTGATCACTAGACCACAGAGGCAGTCGGTTCCACCACTAGGAATCTCTTTATCGGCTGCATAAACATCCGGAGCTGAAGGAGGAAGACCCTATACAATGGACGCGTGCCTTCATTTACGTCCTTGTTTAATTCTATTATATATAAAAATTGTTAAAAACACAATTCTAAGCGCCCACCATACTTGGTGAACACCCTGAATAGTCCCCAGACTAACGCACATCGCGGTGACCTTCAGAGAGGATTATGCAATAAGATACACGTTCAAAACACGGTTAATCTAAGCCACATGAGGTTCAGGCAGGCGATATCTTTGAACACACAGTCTTCTGGGATATAACGCCGTGTAGTCTGGTAGCGTAACCAACATTTCAGATGGTTCTCTATCTTCAGATGGAAGGGTAAAAGGTAAAGTTGTCCCTATGCACTACGTCATGAAGGCGTATGGGGGAGCGGACGTCTATATCCACATTTTCTTGACATCGGCACTAGCTCAGAGTGCTTAGCTTCACTACCCTGCCACATTACCCCCGGTACCCAGAACCGGTCTGGACGACGTCGAGAAAAAATTCTTGAACCTACCGGGACTCGAACTCCGACCCCTCGGTACTCCAGCCCGTAGCCATGCGGTCTTTCCGGTGTTAGTTCGGAGAAACCCCTACCTTTCGGAGGAACATAAAGCCTCTCTCCTCAGGGTTGAAAAATAAACCAAGCAAGAAACCGGCAGAAGCACAAGATGAGCTTTCTCCGAACTACATTGCGTCACAACACAGAATTCTGCACTCTCACTGTCACCCCAAATCATAAGGCAATTCTTTACTCTAATCAAATCCTGCCGTTAAATCATGCAAACACAGATAAGATATTTTTGTCTTTAGCTTGTTGTGTTAATAAGATATAACGTATTATCAAGTGTGTATCTAAAGTCACCTATTATGACAGTGTAAAGTCGTCCCTGTGCTTAAATAATTACGTCATGAAGGCGTATTGGGGAGTGGGTGCATAGATCCACATTTTCTTGACCTCGGCACTAGCTGGAGATGAGTGGTCAATAAATAGTCAGCAAACCAAACCCCGTCTATAGTCACACAGACACGTGACAATACGAACACAACACACTTCCACGCACCAAACCCTGTTACGCTCTGCACGCGCAACCGCTCCCGCCAATGTCGTTGCAAGTTTCATTACTGACGGCAGCAAGTCTCGGACATCCCCCCCCCCCACTGACAAGATCGATTTAAAATTCTTCTTCATGGTGCATACGGTACAATTGCAGCCTTGGCCTCCTCTCAGCACATTCATTTTTCTACACCACTTTCAGACAGGCGCCCTAGGTCCCACAGAACAGACACACCCCACAAGTGTTCACAGCGAGTCATTGCAAACCGGTGATTTAAACGGGGATGTTTCGCCTGAGCCACACGTTTAATTCTTTCCGCATCTATCCGTCTTCAGCAGGCTTATGTGATCACCGTGTTATCTGTGAAGCCCCAATTATTAACATTTGAATGCCTGAACCAATCTTTAAAGAATTTGGTAGAGATATCATATCAACGGCGTACTTCACAAATACCTTCCGTTAGTTTGTGTGTCTGTATGTGTATCTCTCCTTTCGTTGCTAGGCAACGGCTCGGTAAATACGTTACCGCGGCAAAGAATACATGCTACGTGTGTGTCTGTGTATTCCCCTATCGTTGCTAGGTACAAACTCTGTAACGACGTTCCTGCGGTAACGAATAATTGTTGGAGACATCGTTTTCCATGAGGTCCGTGTCGCATCAAAGGAAATTTGGAGACCAATTCTTCCCAGAACTTCATGTTTTAACCCTAAGTTCGGTATAAACATTTTGTGAAGGAGTTACACTCTACCGATAAGGACCTCCAATAAACACGCCACTCTCAAATTTATAAGGATACTGTCAGTAGCTCAGGACACGTAGTGTCTAATGGTAGAGTGATTATCGAATAATGAACTCGAAACGTGAAAGGAAGCGGTCGTGGCCTAATTTAATGTACTGTACCGGCATTTGCGTGGTGAGGATTAACAAAATCAACACACACCTCGGCCAGGAAGGTCAGTGGCCCGGCTAAGATTCGAAATGAGGATCTCCCCAATAAAATCAGAAGCGTTAACACGTGAAACACGCCGGGTAAAATTCGATATAGAACTTGCACAGACACAGTCCTTCCGAAACGTCGGTATCTATGTACCAAACTCCACGGCAACATACCCTGCAAGACAGTAATCTTCATATTCACCGGCGTCTGATCTCATGTCTCATTAAGCTGTGTACTTTGAACGGTAACTGCTTTCTGTTTCAACCAAATTTAATCGAAATTCGTAGACTGGTTCAGGAGATGCATTCCGCATTATGTGGTCATTATGGACAGAACCAGTAAAAAAAAAAATATGGCGACCTGCAACGTAGGTGAGTCCCTAAAGAATGAAACGCTCTAAAGACAGTAAGTTTGCGATTACTTTTTCTCTGACTGTACCACTACGCAATATTCCAAGTGCAAATCTTCGTCAATTGCCGGCTTACGTAATATGGACATGACAATGAGTCAAGCTGCATTTCCACAAGGTGCCGACGAACACATTCAACCGATGGTTGCCATCTGATAGTTCGTTTGTAGGATTAACGACACTGTATCACTGACAGATGTTACTGGGCTTTAAACGAGCCGGTGATTACATACAGAGAGGCGGAAGACATAAGACAGAAGTTGTCGTGAGTTCTGCAAATACAGTTTCTCGCGTTATTCACTCGAATTCACTCAGAGATACTATGGAACACATCTATGGTCGGGTGAACTGGATTCGAAACGGGTACCCTTTGAATACAGATCAGGCAAGTTATCGCTGCACGAAACCGCTCTGCAGAACTCCGCAATGCGAAACCGGTAGCGGTAAGCAGCAGGATGCGTTCTAAAAATCTTTCATACGTCCATGGCAACCTCGCACCTATACACGGAGCACCACCATGTACCTCTGCAAGTCATCCTATGAGCGCTGAATACAAAATCACAACAAGCAAACTGCGCATGAACTGACAAATTCAACAGCTAATTGCGGGGGAAACTACAAGAACTGACAAATTCAACAGCTGAATTCTGGGGGGGAACTGGAAAAGGAGTTAGGAAATTCCAAAGCTAAATTCACGGGAAAGATTCCACAGTTAAATTATGGGAAAATTATGAACTGATAAATTCCACAGGTGATTATATGGTAATAACCAATTAGCCGCCGCAGAAAGGTCAAATAATAATAAATAATACAAATATTCATAAATTCACAAGTACATTACTAAGGTCATATCCGGTACACACAATTAGAATCCAGATAACAAATCGATGCATTATGTAGGTCTGGATTCTCACAGCGGGGACTACGAGTACAACCTGTCACCATGAATTCCTGTAGAAGTTCGCCGACGTTTCGGAGGAAATGTGCTTTCTCCATCTTTCGGGTTGAGGTGTAAGCAAGAAACCACAAAGAAACAGGCAACAAGCAAAGGTTGCGCAT